GGGAGGGGAGGTTGGAGGGGTTCGCGGCCATTCGTGTCTCCTGCTTGGCGAGCGGGGTCTGAGGCCGCGCAGGGGGACACAGGCGGGTCTTTCCATGGGGTGCGACGACAGTTTGGGGTTCCGCTGCCTGGGGTTCGGTGCAGCCCATTCGCATCTCCAGCCGTGACGAGCGCATTCGCGTGCGACGTCCCTTCGACGACCTCCTCCATCGCCTTTGCTGCTCCGCTGTTGCGCCACGTGTCTGCGGACGTGGGTGTAAGGGTTCCCTCTCGTCGCGAACTCTTTCCCGTCCTTCTACCCGTTACTGGGGTCCAGTTGTCGGCGCTTCGACATTCCTTTTTTGCGTTCTGCGTTAGCAAGTGGCCGCCGTGGTCTGCGCTCAGCCCTTGTCGAATAGTCGCGCCATCGTGTGTGCTTCGCCATCGTCGAAGAACTGCGCCTTGTCTAAGAATTGTGCCCCGTCAAAGAGCTGCGCCACCGTGTGCGTTGTGCCCTCGTTAAGGTAAAGTGGTTTTCTGCCTGCCCGCGTGTCAGTCGTCGCACATGCTTGCCGGCGCATGGGAGCAGCCGCATCGCACCACGTGTCGCAAGTTGTGGGGACGGCGGGAACGGATGTCGATGACATTGGGGCACATGGTTTCTGTATTCCCTTTTGCTTCCCATGACTCTTGCTGACCATCATCATCATCATCATCATCGTCATCGTCATCGTCATCATTATCATCATCATCGTTGTTATCATCATAAACACCATCATCATCATCATGATCATCATCATCCTCATCATCATTAACAACATCATCAACATCATCATCATTATCATCATCGACATCGTCGTAGTCATCAACATCGCCACCGTCCTCGTCATCATCATCATCATCTGCATCGCAATCAGCATCATCATCATCTTCATCAACATCGCCATTATCATCATGTCGTGGCACGTGTCGCAAGTGGCGGGGACAGAGGGAATGGATGACGAAGACATTGGGGCACACGGTTACTGTGTTCCCTTCTGCTTCCCTCTCGCTCGTTCCACGCGATTGCCCCCATGATTCCTGTTTGGGTTGGCGATGGGCCAGATGGTTTCTGTATTTCCTTCTCTTCTCACTCCTTCGTTCCTCGCGACAGGCCCCATGATTCCTGCTTGGCTAAGCATTGAAGACGAGCCAACTGAACATTGCAAAACACTCCCACATGGTTGCCATACTGAACATTGCGAAACACTCCTGCGTGGTTGAGGCAAACACGAAATCGCCTTTTTCCAGCAGAACACGAGATCCCGTCGACAAACGTTCCTCACACGTTTGCTTTTCTCATCAAACAGTTTAGAGGTTGTTTAACACAAAGGAGATGCATTGGACTGCAAATCCATTACTGATGGTTCGAATCCATCGCAGGACAGACAATGGTTGCGGCGGGTGTGCTGAACGACCAGCGGGCGCCACATGGGCTGCGCGCGACCAGGGTTGGTATTAAGCATCGCGCGGTGGCCACCGTGTGAAGGATGTCCACCGTCCACATGGCGTGCAGTGAGAGGGATGGTGTTCATCAACAGGAGGGGGTCGTCGTTCCGTTTTCATGTTCTCGTCACAACACTCGTGCCTCCCTCCCCGGAGAGACTATGGCGTCAATCTCGGGAGAGCTGGTGTCGTCTCCATCCCGCGCACACAACGTGCACATAATCCACCATAAAGGCCACGGATGTTGAGCGCACGTGCCTGGCGCAGGCCATGAGGGACGCGACAGCACATTGCGTACAACAAATGCAAGTGTTGTGCGCGCAACATCCGCAGGCTCCAGGACGAAGAATGCACACGTTGCGTGCGCGCGATGGAGAACGACAACACCGCTCGCTGCAATGACAATGCCGTTTCTTCGGCGTGAGCACCTCATGTTTCGTGACGAGAACCTCAACACGAAAAAATGGCCTCGTTCAATAACGAACAACCCGGCCGCCTCCGGGACACGTCTTATTCGTCGGGGAACGGGGGGTCGCCATTGTGACTGCAGGCGCGAAAACAACAACCGCCAAACATGAAAAGGCGAGTCGCGTGTCCTTGCCTGGCGAGATGGGAAGTTCGGATATCGGCGAACTACAGCAATCATGCGCAATGCTCTCACGGAAGCGGCATTGTGTTGTCGTCGCGCGGCCGTTGGGAGAGCACGCGCCTCTGAAAAAACAGCGCATGATTGCTGTAGTTCGCCGACATCCGAAGTTACATTTTCGCCACGTTTTCACACGCGACTCAACGTTTTTTTTTTGTGGTTGTTGGTTTCGCATTCAAAGTCACAATGCCGTTCCCGGGTGCCCTGATGACTAGCTTTTGCGAGAAATTTTCCAGCTTTAGGGCGTGGGGTCGGTAGTTGAGAATGCCCTGCCAGTTGTCACCGTGCGAGGGCGACAACACGAAGTTCGGATCCCGACGGACTTGCGATCTGAAGCATGCGAAGTCGTGAGCTGCTCGCATGGTCATTGTTGTTTCGACCGCATCACTGAAATCACACGCTTACGGTTTGGATGTGGTCCGCGACAGTTCGACCGTCCATTATGCACGTCTGACTCCTGATAGGACACGTAGTACTGGGCGCAACATACAAACAGAAATGTGTCGACAAATTAACAACATAGATTCACGCCTGGCCGGTGGAGTGTCCGGAACATAACCAAATATCAACGACCACATGCAGGCAGCGCGAGGTACACATCTATTAATGTGGGCCGCATTACAGGCTTCCTCATAAACACCGGCCATGCATGAGTTCGCAAACTATCCAAGCGATGGCATGTTATATTCTGTCCATACTCGCCTGGCCCTCGGCGTTGTCGAGGGTCTCATTCGACACTCAAGTGTCGGCTGACACGCGCCTTGAGGGACTTGCCTCTCGAAGCTAAACAACCGTCAAGACGGTTGCATTACCTACCCTCTTCAACTACCTGCGGGAGCGACGGGTAGGGGGGCAAGGCCCTTTGTAGCAGTTGAGTTCCAACTGCGGAGGCCTTTAACAAGGTCAAGGGGTTTGACTTTGACAGCTGCTACAGACTTCAACATCCAATGACAAAAGTATAAAAAGCAAAAGGGGGAAGGGTGTCTTCGTTCCTTATCGGGGCAATTCTTAGCGCCGGAGTCGATGCAAGAAAAATTCGGCTTCCCTTCGGCACATGCATTTCAGGCATTCAAAGGACTTCGATCTGTGCCCAGTTCAGATGTCGGCGCACTTCGCATGTCACGGATTGCGAAATCGTCCGTGACACCCCATGTGCGGCGATTTAGCTGCAGGGGTTGTGATCGCCTTCAGACGAGCTCACCCTGTTCGACTGCTGCGCTGGGAATCGGCTCTGCGGAGGGGGGGGGGGGGGGGGGGGGGGGGGGGGGGAGGTTAGCCCTTCTTTAGTAATCGTGCTTACAGTTTGCTCCGCTGTTTTGCAGGGTGTGGACACGAATTCGAATGACCCGTCCAATCCGCACAAGAGAGATTAATCGATTACGCTGACGGGAATCGCATCCGCTGCACCTACGGTTACATGACGGCGTCAAAGACGGCTCGGCGAACGGCCACATGAACCGGGGTATGGAAACTGAACAAGACGTCGACTTGCATTACCAGCTACAACATCTGGAATTGGCCCCGACGACCTCTTCGGACAGTTCGCCGTTCCAATAGTCCGCTGCAGCTCTCCCCAAAAAACGGAGTCTTGCTTTTCGTGAGAGCTTTGGAGGTTGCATCCAACTGCCTACAGATTTGGCAACAACGTCCTCGGGCAAAGAATCGTCTACCTCGCGGATCGAGTTCCACATTCCTCGCAAGGTGCACCTCACAGCTTCAGCGCACAACAGTTGCGTGCCAATGGGTGTTTCTTACGCATCATCTGATGACGAGAGTGAGCGGTTGGTGGTCACTGATTACTCGTCTGGACAACAGTGCTCTTCCAGTGGACCTTTGCTTCGCGCTAGCTCCAGTAGTACGAAGTTGGTTGCCACCGACTATTCTTCGGAGGAACTTTCCACAGCACGGGCGAGTCCAACGCAAGTGCAAAGTGACGATGCGATTCCAATTGACAGCCAGGCTGGGTCGGAAGCGTCTGGCAGGGGTGATGCAGAGAGAAGGGCGATACTGCAGATTTTGCCCGCACCTCTGCTAGGCGAAAGACGAAGGTATAGCATGGCTAATAGGAACGCTAGGAGGAAAAAACAGTACAAAAGAGCGAGAAACATGTTGTCCGAAAAAAGACTGCTCATGGTGCGTGGCATGGCATGTTGCAAGGCTCGATGTTGTTACGATGTGTCGCCAGAGGAAGTGCGAAAGGTTAGACAGGGACTGTACAGTAAGAGTCTGGGAGAGCGAGCTGAGTGGTGGATGAAAAGTATTAAGGATTTCACAGTAAATGAGGGTGGACAGAAACGTGTCCGCCCTGTGGAGTTGGAACGTTCGATGTGCGTTAGGGCGTACTGCAATGTACTCGGTGTCTCACGTAATACATTTTACAGCTACAAAAAGTGTTTTGACAATGGCTACGTGCGTTCTGAGCATGTCCTGACGGGAAGATATCGGCCAACCGATAAAACGGTCTTCATGCTTGCCAGCATGAGAACGTTCATCGAGCGTCATGCGGATAGCATGCCGAATGAGGTGGCTAACCAAGGTGGGGTTTCCAGACCGAAGCTTCGACTCCCGGCTGCTTTCACAAAGAGATCAATTTATGAGTCCATCAAATCAGACTTTCTGACCGCTGGCCTCGATGTCGTGTCTGAGTCCAACTTTTATAAACAGTGGCGGCGACACTTTTTCCACGTTTCCCTCGCGCAATCTAACACGTTCACGAAGTGCGCCGTCTAACATGAACTGAAGGAACGTATACAATATGTTGCTCTTCCTCGCGATCAAGAACAAGATCGAGAGGGTATGAAAGCACACCAAAGGAGGCAAGTTGAACACAGATTGGACTACAGTCAAGCGAAAACTGATTCCATAGTTCGTCCGAACGAGCGTTTGTGTCTCATCATTGACGGCATGGATCAGAAGAAAACAACTATCCCCCATTGGTCAAGCGAACTACTCGAAAGCGCTTAGGTACGAGATGATGATGAAGACTAATCTGACAGGCATCATTGCACACGGTAGAGACCCTAGTATACACGTATACACGTGGTTTTCGTATTTCAAACACGATTCGAACACAGTCGCTACTTGTGTTATGAGAACCCTTGTCGAAATTCAAGGGAGTGGGACGCCACTGCCACGGTTTTTGCGCATTCAAGCAGATAATTGTTGGCGGGAAAACAAGAACAAGTACATATGTGCGATGGCTGCACTATTGGTTAAGTTCGGAGTTTTCGAAGAGGTAGAAATAGGTTTCATGCTGGTGGGACACACCCATATAAACGTTGACGCTACTTTCAGCGTTTTCTCGAAGAAATTGAAAGACGTAGACGCTTATACTATGGACGAGTTCTTCGAGCTCATAGAGCAATCCCACAAAAAGCCTCCCAAACGTATTTTCCTCGATACGATGGAAGATTGGATTAGTATAGTGGACCCGTACGTTGCGTCAGACATTACCGGTATTTCAAAACCGCACTTGCTTAAATTTTTGATGGTTGGAGGTAATCCGGGCATGCTGTACAAGGAGTTTTGCGATGATGACAACTGGTTGCCCAAGGAAGGTCCGGTTTTTTGGTTCAATCAAAACCCCGATGAAAGCTATGCAGGTCCCACATGGTCGTTTGACCTGCCTCATGTGCAACCCCTTCCTCGAAATGACTATTTGAATGGCAAAAATGGTGTTGTTCGATTCCGCGAGTTGCTGAAGAGTAGGCGATCGACGTGGTGCACTTACAATGACCATGAGGTGAGTAGGAGAGAAAGAGCTTTGTGTTACTGGGAGGAGGTTATCAAACATGGCGATGAGATCATCGCCAACGGGTTGTCCTCGCAACCTCAAGAAAGTTTTTGGCCACGACCACGGCTGCTCGAAATCTATCAACAACCTTCTCCTCACAGTGTCAACATCGACGACGACAGGGAACCCCTGTTTGTTGGACGAAGAAAAAATCGTCTGAAGACTAGTTTCGACCCCCTCGTGCATGTTGACGTGGGCACTTTTCTTATCCTTCGCCCCTCCGACGATGATCTGTCCAGCGGTGTGCCAGTCTGGGTGGGCAAAGCTCTTTCTCGGGTGGTTGTTGATTATAATTCGCAAAATTATAATCAAGTGCTAGTGAAATATTGAGTGCCGACTGGGAGAGCAAAGTCGCTCGAACAACTGTATGAGAACGCATGGGAAAAACGATGGAAAATGACTGACCAGACACTATGGCAGGATGCTGACTCAATCGCTTTTGGTTGGGAGAGACCGGGCCGTGGTACAAGACCATTCACGACTGGACTTGTCATTCCTTCCAGTGTTCAACCGAATGCGGAAGCTGCACTTCTAGATCTGAGTCCATCTGATGAAGGTTCATCTGGTGAAGGTCCATCTGGTGAAGGTCCATCTGGTGAAGGGAGTGTAGATGGAGGGGACAAGAGCGATTAGTGCACGTCCGCCTGATAGAGTGGGGGAGTGA